CCCCAAAACCCCAAAACCCCAAAACCCCAAAACCCCAGCAATCCTCACTAAAACTGAAAATTTTATACAAAATTCATTTCAAGAATCTCATCAGTAATGGTCAGCTGGGGGTCCCTGGCTCTGGCCCTGCCAGCTGAGAAAATCCTTCTTTTCCTCTTACGTTTAGATAGCCGGTTCATTCATTTCAGAAATCTATCTGCAAGGAGGTCTTCAAGAGGCCTGGTGTATGGCTTCGGGCTGAAAAGTCCTAAATGGGTGAATGAGTCAGGCGTACTTTTAGTCCTCCTTTTGTTCTGTATTTTGAATGAGTTGTGCTTCCGAGAGAACTTTCCTACTAAATGGTAAAACGAATAATACATTTTGAAGAAATAGACCTGATTTCTTTGTTATAGTTTTGAATTATCTTGTGCCTTTTAATACGTTTCAACCTTAGCTTTTTGGCCTTAGTGTATTTCAAGTTTTTCATATCCTTCTTGGGACTCATGGACCTGATTTCGGTTCTTAGAAGGGGCTTGAATTTCCGTGAAATTGCTACATATTAAGCATAAGCTTCACTTTTAGTCTTGGGATTCTCCTTAGTGTTTAAAATAAGCATTCTCTTTCATAATTTGAGGAGGAATAAGAAGTCTTTCTAGAAATATAAGTGCTAGAGCTTACATCGTTTTCGATCTCATCAGCTAGAATTTCCTCAACTTGTTTGATGAATCTAACAACAGAGGACTTAAGCTTATTCTCACTGACTTGTAATTTCTGATTGACGTGGCTAGTATCAATATACCTCTTAAAGCTCTTAAACTTAAAGCAAAGAGTCAATATTTGTTGATACTTCTCCTTCTTAACTTGAAGTAGATATAAATTAGAGTTCTTGTTCTTTTCTTTCTGAACAGTGCCTATTTCAAGAAGTTAGCACACTTATTTTAAGGAATCAAGAGAATCCTTACTTTCTGAATAATCACTTTCGGACATGGATTCTGAGTCATTAAGTTCTTCCTCTATCATCTCTGACTCATTCCTAGAGATATCAGAGGAAAGACTACTGGTACTTGAAGTAATTGCTATTCTTTCGTTTTTCCAGCTTAGTAATCTTAGCGATGTTCCCTTTGATTCAACTTATAATCTGGCTTAATTTGGCATCCATATTTTGTCTAAAAATACTACTATTTCCGGCTGAAAGTGTCTATTTGATAAGTTAAGCGGGAATGTAATACCACATTGTTCAGAGGCTGGCTGAAAATTCTCCCTTTGTTAACATATTTTCTGATGTAATCAAGAGCTCTAAACCTGATTAGGTCATATTTACTCCTTCTTTTTCGTTTTGCTGCTAACTTTATTTTAAATCGGCATTTAAGACTGGCTTCTGGAAGCTATCGGAAGTCATTGAGTCTTGCTTAGGCTTCTAAGATGAGTAAATACCTAGTTGTTTACCATATAGTTTGTTGGAGTTGGGGATAGAAAGCTCCGAATGTTTATCACCTTCTCCTTCAGAGGTGAACAAGTTCTTCCATTTGACCTGACTCATTTATCTAAAATTAATTTTATTATTATTCTTAATGACTTACCTTTTAAACTTTGGATAATATGAGAATGGTTTTCGAAATCTTCTGTCATTTTCGACAAATCTTCCTTAATTGCATTTATTTTCTTGGTACTGAAGTTCCTATCGGCTCGGTATACAGAAGGATCGTAGAGGAAGTTCTTCTTAGGCTATATTCCTCATGATAAGGATTTTAGCATTACTTACTGCTGCTTTTACACTAATCTTTTTACATCCTTGCAAAAATCTAGCTGGACTCACTGATGTTTTTGATCTATTGAAATTCTAAAATTTAGTCAAACCTGGAAACGAGGGATTAGAGTTACCTTCTTGGTGTCATTCAAGTCTTTGATGACTTTGTTGACCTGAGACTTCTCATCCTTACCTGAGACATAATTTAGGATTAGTCCCCATCCATTAGTTTTAAACATATTATTTTCCTCGTATTCAAGTTCTGTTACATCATGATCACAAACACTTACTCCTTGATAGATTCTTGTCAGGAGGGTTATCAGAGGCCTTGCTTTTCCTAAACAAGCTGTTTAAGATAAAAAATCGAGAAAAATTTATAATCTGGGAATTTTGAATATCTTCATAATAGTGTTTGCAGAAATCTTGTTGTAATATATTTGTTCTGTTTCTTACCTTTCAGCGTTATTAAATCTAAACATTTGGTCTGAAGTCACATCAAGGGTATAGCATCGCTTGAATCTCTTATTCATTGGCTTTCTTTTCTTGGTTTCTCCACCAGAGGCTATCAAGGAGTAAGTTATATAAGGTTTAAGACAACTTAGATCAAAACCCTGATGCCAATGCACACTGTGTAATGAAATTCAGTTATGAGATTATTACCTTTAATAGCCTGATGATATTCCTCACTTCCAAATCTGGGCTTATTACCATCTATATTGACTATCAGAGGCTTCTAATGAGCTTAAATTTGCTTGTAAAAAAGAAAATATACTCTTCGAAAATGCTTTGGTTCCATTAAACATTGTTAATTATTCACAAATATTTCAATAATAATTTATACGTGCGGGGTTTTGGGGTTTTGGGGTTTTGGGG